GTGCGTGACGCAGTTGCCCATGGTAACCCCGGAGCCGCGCGGAGGATGGTGAGCGGGGCCGTGAGGGTCTCTGATCCCCGATCCCCGGTTCTTGATCCCCGATCCCTGCCAGCTCCCGGCTCCGGCCTCGGGCAGACCCCACTGCGGGCACGGGGGGAGGTCGGGCCGGGCTGCGGCCGGGGCTCCCTGCCCGGGCTTGCGTGGGTTCCAGGGGAGCAGGGCCTGGGTCCCGGGGCCCCCGACCCGAGGCCGTGGGATCCCTGTGGGCCGATGTGAGCTGAGGGTGTTGGGGCAGGGAGAACCTGACTAGGGTCCTGGTGGGAGCAGGAGTCTGTGGGGCTCCCAAGGGAGAGTGGGTGAGGAAAGCAGGGTCTGGGAGGCTCAGTGATGCTGCAGGGAGCCTTTCTAGGTTGAGGCTGGACTGCGTGGGCTCTAGATGAACAAGGTGAGAAAGATTGGGATGGAAGTTTGGGAGTAGCATGTTCAAATGGGGGGCAAGTCACCGGGAAACAGCCTTGCAGTGGGTGCTCCGTCAAGGCAGAGAGAACATATGTGAAAGGCTAGCCGTTCAGGGCTGTAGGGCTGAGACCCAGAGGGCTGAGGTGCTGGAAGAGGCCTGGGAGTTGGAGGGCATGGACAGCTCCGTCTGCCGAGGGGTTGGGGAATCCACTCAGTGTTGGCTGTCTGGGATGTTGTTGGGGTGTTGGGTCACTCAGCAGGGTTCTGTGTGGGGTTTTGATACTGATGAGAGAAACAGAGAGGCCCCATAGATAAGGAGTGTTGAGGAGGAGAGAGGAAGCCAGGGAACATCTGGAGTGAAGGAGGTGTTTGCTGCAGAGGATCTAGTCATGAGGAACCAAAGTTGGGGTGAAGTTGGATCATGGCATGGGGTGGTGGAAACTTCAGTGTAGTTGTTGGAGTAGCTGGGGTTGGGACAAGTGAGATACTGGCAGAGTCCAACCAGGATTGGCAGGAAGGGATGGAGCTGTCAGGCCAGGGAGCATCAGCAGATGGGTGAGGAGGAGAGCGCTGTGGTAGGAGGCCAAGCTACAGGCTGAGGATGCAGCATGTGTGGCTGGCACAAGCTGAAAGAAAGAGCTGAGCCCAAGATGGGGGTTGTGTCTTATCTAAGAGCCCTCTGGACATGGGCTTGATCGATGCTAGTAGGCAGCTTGGGAGGAGGCATAAATGAGAGCGGCAGAAGCAGCTCCTCATCCTCACTGGCTCGGTGCTGCCTCCCCACCTGTTTCAGCCTGCTGGGCCACAGCAAGAGGCTGAGACGAAGTCTGCGACTTCTGCTTTATTTTAGATTGGGTGATGATGGAGCATATCCCACTAGACGTTGGAGCCATCACAGGATGGACATCTGCTATAAAAATGGGGCAGCCTCCTGCAGTGCCCTGCTTTGTGGGACACATTTGGCCTGCAGCTGCTGCTGCCCAAGTCTGCTCTTCTGCCTTGTAATGTCCCAGTGAGCTGGTCTAGGCTGGGATCTGTCTGCTGCTGTCTGAGAGCGCTGAGCTTAGAGTAGACTGGGTGTTTTCCGGTGCCTCTGTTATATGATATAATTTTTCATGCCTCAGACTATTTTTCATTGCTGGGAGTTGTTTGTTTTTGCATTACAGCCTCTCAGACAGGGTGGAAGCACTTCAGGGTGCCAGATGGACTGGCCATGCTGGCCAGAAACCTGGAGAGCTCTGTATTGCTTCTGAGGATGGTCAATTTTCACTAAAACCAAATACATCCTTAGCAGTAGAAGCTCTGAAACACCAGCGATTATGCAAAGCAGCTATGGCAGCCTCGGGCTCTGGCTCCGCAATCAGAAATGATCGAGGCAGCCTGACTTAACAATTTGTTGTGTGTCCTCTGAGCTGGGGTAGGTGACCACGATTGTGTTTCTGGTGTGTTGTGATCGCACCGACAAGCGGTTAAACCCCCTTCTGTGCCTGCTTGCCTGGCTCCGGCTATAGGAGGGTTAATGATGAGTTTAAACTATTGCAGTGCTCATCCAAGTGAGCAAGCACGGAAAGGAAGTGCCTTGTTCTGCAGCCCAGAGCAGCTTTCCTCGCAGCTGGGGCACGGGGCTGCTGGAGGGTCAGAGGTGGAGCACAGAGGGAAAGATGAGCCATGAAAGTGCTGAAATGTGGAGCTCTGTTCAGCAGCATGTGTGGTGGCCTCACAGCAAGAACGAAGCAAGCCTGAATTGCATGAAAGGAAACGCAGCTTTCAAAAGTTCTGGGAATGCTATATGAAGCAGAGGCTGTGGCTTACTTGTCACTGTAATGACAATCTTAGCTTGACAGTTATTAATAGATATCGGGGCCAAAGCAGCTTCTGTGTTTTTCTAAAACCGTGGGTTAGAGATGACATCGTTGTGTCAGAAGTCAGGTTGCTAAAGCCTGACCCCCTTTTACAGATGAGGAAACTAAGTCATGGAGTGTCTAGATTAGGCACATCTTGTGGGGAGAGTGAAATACCAGCATATCTAAATGTGTGGCCAGGCATCCCATCTTCTGGTCTTGAGCTCACTTTTTCTTTTAAAGAAGATGGCATGTATCTGTTCTCTCTTGTACCTGGTATCCCAAATTAGTTCCCTTTGTCTTTCATTGTTTGGAAATAAGCCTGTATTTAAAATGGCACTATTTAAAAGCACTTTCAAAAGCCCTAATAATGCTTTGCTGCTTTAGTTTCCCAGGACAGTTACATGTCATGAGGCTCTCTTGTTTGTTTGCTTTTGGTGGTTGCTGCAAGGATGGTATGAGAAACTGCACGCAGCTAAGGCCATGTACCAACAACTGGGCAAGACTTGGAAGCTCTGAAACCACCAGAGGGGAGACAAAGGCTGTCGACACTGTCTGGTGTTGGGTATTAGCTCTTCTCTGTGCAAGACACAGCACCTCCTTGAAATCTGCTAAAACCAGAGGAGTTTGATTTTGATTATGGTAGAGAGTTTGTGCTGGTATTGGTTAGTATACGAGAGAAGTGCTGTGTGAACTCTTTGGCAGAAAACTGTGTCAGTAGGTTTGAGCTGGAAAAACTCTATAGGTGACTTGCCTCCATTATACGTTAGATTTCAATGTAGAAAAGAAAGTCTGCGTTGAATGACACCATATGGTGGAGACATGCAGCAAGCAAATGATTTTGTTGGGAGTTTTGCCAGAGTAAGAAGTATTGAATAAACTGTACTCAATAGATTAATTTACTTTGGTTGTATTTTGAGAAAGACTGGGTGATTTTATGACCATTAGTGACATTTGCAGTTCTGCAGCCGAAGATAAAGGTAATCAAACGTCATTCTTCAGGGCAGCAGCTAATCAGTGCAGTTGTCAGGAGGGACTCCCCTCCTCCATCTCCTGGTGCTTGGAATTGTATGCAGGACTGAGAACATAGTCCCAAATGTTATCTGCCACCAAGGGCTGCATATTAGGTTACTTGTCCTTTCTCACTTCAGTTACTCCTGCATGACTGTGAAACCATCACCTACGTCTTCTGTGTGCTGGAGTAACTCGGTATTTAAAAATGAGCTACCACATTGCTTAATTAAAGAAATTCCTGAGCCAGAATGTGCTAGGTGCTCTGCAAACAGGAGATGTGCCATGGAAATGCGGGCTGCTTGAGGTGAGCGATAAGTGAGTGATGTGGGTGAGGAGAGTCTGGGGCAGGTTTGAACTTGGCCCGCTGGCTTCTTAACCCATCCAGGCCTGCAGGTGTGGAGGAGGAGGAATGAGCCAGAGCATCCCGGGATGGTTTTACAGATAGATACTGTGAGGTTTCTCCCAAGGAAAGGCACAAAAGGGCTAGTTTGAGGCTAGAGCCAGGGGCAGCGATGGGGCTGGCATCACGAGCCATTCGCAGCCAGAGCCATCCTCTCCCCTGGACGCACCTGGCAGGGCTGGGGCCGGAGGGTGAAGATAGGAGTCGTGCAGGGGTGGACGGATGGGGAGATGCAGCTGCAGTGGCAGGCTGAGAGGCTGAGCTTTGTGGCTATGCTGCATCTCGGTGAATTGATTTGATTCTAGCTAAGTAT